TAAGGACCAAAAAAGGGATTTTTTCGGTACAAGGACCAAAAAGGGGCTTTTTCCTATAGTAGAGGGACCAAAAAAGGTATTTAACCAAAGAAAATTTAAAAAAGAAAGCATCATATTAGTACAATTTTTTTAAAAAAAGGATAGTATTATTTCAGTCAAAAATTTTGACAGAAAAATATAACTAAATTAGAACAAATATTACTTAATTAATTTGGTCAAAATTTTTGACTGAAATGTTTATTATTTTATTGTTAATATAACTCGGATAAAATACTTGACTGAATTAACGGTAGCACCAATTGGCGCTTTTTTATTTCAATCAATATATTTGACCGAAATAATTTTAGACCGAATTATTGTGTTAAATATTTTTTAATCGGATTAAAGTATATTTCGATCAAAATTTTTGACCGAATTAAGTCTTTTTTCGATCAAAATTTTTACTTGACCGAAATGTTCTCTCTGAAAAAATCACATTTTCTAGTAGTGCTCTCAGCGAATATTTTTCCATTCACAAGACTCAAATTCGAGATCTTACTTAAAAGGAATCGAGCTCCTTCCACTCGAACCAACATGTAGTTGGTATAATTATTAGTTTATAATTTTATATAATATTGTAATTATGATATTATATACTTTTATTTTTAATAATATATTACACTTATATAATATTATATTATAATTATTAGTTTATAATTTTATATAATATTGTAGTTAAAGGATTACTAAAAGGAGGAAAAAAAATGAAAAGGTCCTTTAAAAGCTAATTAAAAGGAGATAATCTTGCCGTAACCATCACCGACCACCTTTATAAAATAATGAGGAAAGTCCCTAGTCGTTTATCTGGCCACATTCACTTCGAGTTCTCATATTATCATCTCCTTGACTCTTGATCCCATCAACCAAGGGCTATAGGTGCAAGCACCACCAAGGTGCTACTTGCTAGGTTTTGCTTCTATTCTTCGTTTAAGGCTCTAAGTGGTGAAGTTAGTATTTTGGGTTAGAAAGGACAAAAATTCCCCTAATCAAGAGTTAAATGCTCTATGAAAATTTGGGGGAAAT